GTGGGAGTGCCCCCCTCCCCCACCTGCCCTGCTTACGCAGGATAGCATGCCCCGAGAACGGCGGCATTTGGCGGGGGTAACCTGGGAAGGAGGTTCGGTTGTGCTTTCTTTTTTGCTCTCGAGGGAATGTTCTCTCGACGGGTGAATTCCCTCGGTTTTGATGTGCTTTATTTATTATTTTTTGGCTATATCATCGGACGTTGAGTGGGCACCGTCTCCAGTCCATCATCTACGATGCCAACCCGAACCGTCCGCCGCTCGAGGATCGAGTGGCCTCCGGATCGAATCGGCACCTTGACCCTTATAATTTTTTTACATCTTGAGCGGGCCCAATTTTGCTCAGATGCACCTCCGAATTCGAACTCACGTCATCACGCTTAGCGCTTGGTGTGTGTCCGTTTTTCGTCACGGGTTCCCTGCCTCTCCTCGAATACAATCCCGGCAATGCGGCGGCGCCATTCCGGGTTCTGCGCGCGCTGCCGGCTGAGTGAGGCGCTTGATGTTAGAAAGTCTGCAAAACGACAAAGTGCGCAAACACATCGGTGTGCAAAAAAAATGGATAGTGCATTCTTACTCGACGAGCGACGTGTGGGTCCCGTCGGCGCCCGCGGGCCGCTCTCTCCAAATCGTGCACATCATACTCGACACATAACCCGTCACATAGCAGCGAGCCCCCCCACGTGCCACGAGCCAATATGGCTCCAAGCTGCAGAACATGTGCGGGCCAGCGCCTATGACGCTCAAGGAGCAGCAAAACTGGCCCCAGGAATTCTGGCTCCGGTTTCGTTGTCAAGCATAGGTTTCATTTTCTAGTCGGCCGTCCTAGGACGTACGTCATTTCAGGTCTCGATTTCGGTTCCGTAGTGTATCTCCGCGCAATGGGAGTTAGCGCGCTCGCTCGCAGAGCGGCGCCTGCTAGCCGAGCGCGAATGCCTGGGTCGCTGAGCTCGCGTCGGTGGCCAACTGCGCCTCCGTGGCGACGCGCTCCGGCCACGAGCGACGTGCCAATCTGCACTTTGAGCTCGCTTGGCAGCCGCCGAGTGCGAGAGGAATTCAAACGGCCGAGCCGGCCAGGCAGCCAGCCGACTTCCCGCACCGATCAGCGCACGTGCGGCCGCGCGTGTACGGGGCGTACACGCGCGGCCGCACATGCTCCGCCTCGACGGCCGCCTCGCGCTCGCTCGAGGTCTGCTCCGCCCGAGCAGCGAGCTCTCAGGTGCGGGCTCTCGGGGCGCCGACCGGCTGGTAGGGAGGAAGTTCGAGCGCGACCGCCGCGGAGCCAGGGCAGCGCGGCCGGGGCTGGGACCGTGAGCGGCGATCGCGCTCCGAGTCGCCCAGCGACGGCAAGGCAGGACGACGAGGCGCGACGGCCGTTGAGCGGAGGCTGGCGAGCAAAAAGAGGCGCCTCCGCGCGCCTCATTTTGAGTAACTTGACAGGGACGTCTAAGCGTTATGCTTGGCGACGAAACCGCTTCGTATTGGGAGTTTTCACGATCAGTTTGGGTATACCCCCGAGCCAGAATTCCTGGGGCCAGTTTTGCTGCGCACGAGAGCTGGGTCCAGTCGTGA